TCATCTAAATAATAGATTTTAGCTACTAAGGAAGTGGGTTCACAGGATAGCTGGTTCAAAAGATCCTCATTTCTTGCATCTCCTAAAGTGCTTTAACCTGTAAAGCTATGAAAGTTACCACATATCCAGGCACAGCACTTCCCACAATTAGAAATGCTGTTAATCTCGTTTTTTGTTCACAATCAAAAAAAGCTTATAGCTTTCCAAAAATAAAAACTGTAGTTATAATATAGCTTGCAGTTGTATGTTTTGTACATATTTGGGATTACCAAAAGCTGTCTTTTCATCACCATCTTTCCAATCCTTTTTCAAACCTAACATATTAATTTGTTTAGTGCACTTCTACAGCACTTCATGTTCTGGAATGCAATAAGGCTGTGTGACTTTTCACTGGAGAGACCCTAATAAAAAGTAGCTACATAAAACAGATCATAGAAGGAATAGAAAAAAATCCCATAAATATTATATTTATAATGCTTGTGAATGTCCCTTTCATGGGAATTTTAAATCTAAAACATCACTATATTACAGCAGTTCTGACTGTTTATAGCTAGTCATTTCAAACAAAAATAACCAGTAAGAAAATATAGCCCTAAATATAGTCTATTAAATTCTTCCTGCTAGCATTCTATGACAGAAGAAAGATGTTGCTTTCTTTACAGTATTTAACAGCTGATTAAAAAAAAAGCAAGACAAAAGTCTCTTTTAACACAATATAATTATGCCTATTTTTTAGAAGACACATAATTTAAGATTTTCTTTCAGTATTAAACTGAGATGAGAGGACTTAAGAACTTTCATAATTTTGATATTTTTGTTATCTGCAACTGTTTGGAAAGCTTAGAACACAGTGAAGACATAAAGCTTTTGAAAATCACATTCTGAATTTTTGTAGGATTATATTACATACAAAAGTGCATACAAGAATTTTACCAAACCCGTAGCACAAATTCCTCACTTTCAAAATGAGGAAATGCCAGAATTCCTCTCTGTGTTTTTTTTTTTTACTTTTTATGTTGTGTTTCTGAGTCCCAATTTTTATATGCATATATAGCTTATAGCCTTTAATATCACGGTCACATACTTCATTTTCCTTCAGATCCCAAAATCATCAGTGCCCAGAATAGCCAATGAACAACTAATCAATATTCCTTTTAATCTCTTTTATTCAACACTAAACTCAGACACCATTGATCTTTTGGGAATCACAAACAACAGTTTCACATAAAGTTTGGAGAAAAGACTTAATTATAAAGCCTTGTGAATTTTCTCTTCTCTCCTTTTCCTTTCCCCTTTCTTTTCAGCTCTTGCCTGACATCAGACTCATCTCACCTCCTCTCGGGTCCTGTGTTTGTTCCACTCCAATGAACCTCAGCCGTGTTACCCGAAGTGTGGCAGCACACGTCTTCAAACACGAAAACAGAACTGTGGCTCAGAGTACAGACAGCTCCCTCAACCAGCTTGACCCTCAGCTGTCAGAGCAGTGTGCACACAGGGAAAGGGGTGGGAACATAAAGCTAAACTGCTCCTACCAGAGCAGGCCTTGGGCAATCCAGAGTGAGACTGGATTAAGTCACTACACTGTCACAGTCACTACACTGTGAGTGACACAGGAACTTGCCCTTCCATGGCATGGGACGGTGTCATTAATCCATGCATAAAGAGAATGGAAACACACTTATGCTGAGAATAGTAGGCTCCATCAGCACCAAAACTTTGTAAATCTTGCAAAAATCTCTTTGTCCTTCTGTCTGAACACTGACAGTGCCTGAATAACAGAAGAGAGGTAACATGAAACAATTTATTACAACTTTTAAACAAATTTCCATAGGATTTTTGTTTTGGGAGGGTTTTTTTGTTGTTGTTTTAGGGGCTTTTTTGCTTGTGGGGTTTTGGTTTTTTGGGGGGGGGTTTTGTGTGCTTTTTTTTTTTTTAACATTTATACAAGGCTTAAATGTGTTATAAAGTTCTTATGCATTCATTCCAGCTGTACAGTGCCCTCTGTGGTAATCTCCTTGGCTAAACACAAGCTCAGAGACCAGCACAAAAGAACAGGATGAATCTGCAAGGTGCTCTGTAACAACAGGTACCTTTAGCTGTTACCCAATGCTTAAGAATTACATACCATCTTTTTCAGGCTGTCTTACCAATGCTTCCTGTTCTTGCTTTGCATTATGCAGCTCTCTTAAACCTATATTACATTGTATCTGCAGGAACATACACGCAGATATTTGCTAAAAAAAAAAGGAGTTTGTTTCAACTCCTACCAGCTAAAAAGCATGGAGTCCACTATGCACTGAGCAATGTCCACAATGCACTGAGTAGGTAAATGGACATATATAGACTTCAGGAACAGAAGTGTCATTAAATATATATCAATGTGAATGTGTGAAAATACATAAATATGTGAATAGTTGTACAACCCACACTTCCCCACTAGATTCTGCAGAATAGCATAAAATAATGCCCAGGTATCGAGATGATGAACAACTGCTGCACTTATTTGTCAGTCAGCAGAGCTGTGGGAGGTAGGAATTAAAGGTGAATTTGAAACAGGAAGAACAAAGGAAAAGACAAATTCCATCTACAGACAGCATGGCATCGCTCTGCTGACCCAAGCAGAAAAGGGAACAAGTTGCAAATTACCAGAAAAGGAAGCCATGTTATATTGGCATTAGTGGTCTTTCCACATCACACAGAGTTTAAAGTATGAATATACATCAGATTTAAATATTCATACAACATGTTAGAAAAATTCCTTTATGTATGGTAATTTACACAAACATATACATGAACGGAAAAAACTCTACAACTACATGTATCACTAAGCAGGATGCTCTGTAGATTCTCATATTAACACTTGCATATCTATATATGATACTTCCAAACATTTAAACATTTTTTTTCCTGTTTGCTTCTTTAAAACTCACAAAATATAATAAAATTCACTTTTAAAACTGCAGAGACTGCCATTACTTGCTTGCTCATAATCATCTTTTCCCTGTCTATTAGAATCACTGATGCATTAGTTGCTTATCAAAACTTGAAACAGTTCATGAGTCATTTCAAAGATAAAATAAATAAATATTAATGAGCCAATTTCAATGGAATTCATGTCCTCTGCATCTTAAAGCTGAAAAACTGTATTTATTACATGTCAGAATTGTCTTGATACCTAATAAATGGGAAAATGTGAAATATGAAATATACTGACTAATTAGATCACCATTGTTCAAGGGATCATTGCATCATAGTCTTATTTGGTCAAATTAAAGATCAAAGAGAGAAAGGACTGGTCAATTAAAACAGAAATTAACTGAAAGAGATGTTTAGATCTGATGCAGCTTGAGTGAAAAATGAAGAATTTAGGGTAGAAATTTTGGAAGTTATTCTATATCAGACGATCTTAACAGAAGTAAACGCATGATCTTCAAACAAACACATTGGTAACAAATATCATTACATAAGAAATTTTAGTATTCTTTACATTGCATGAAGAAAGGGGAGAAGAGAGGCATAGAGATTTCAGGAGTAACAAAAGCATTTTATTTTGGATCAATATGAAATTTTCATTAATTTCACTAGGAGGAGGGCTCTTCATCCATTTAATTTTTTTTACTAAAATTCAGTGAAATACACTATTTTGGAGTAAAAACATTCATTTGGAAAACATCAGTGTGCTGAGAGACCTTCAAGTCTGGGTCCATGACAGTTCACTGCTGAAAATCCAAGTCTAAAACTTTTCAAATTAAATTACCCAGGATGAAATAGGAAACACAAGTCCTTCCCTTGAGCCTTTACTTGCTTGTTCTAGCTTGTTCCTGAATATTATAGGCAAAAAAGATCCCACAGAAATCAAAGGAGCAACAGGGTATATCCCTTAAAGGCAACTGTAGTCTGAAATAACTTGAATAAGACAGACATCAGTGAGCCACTTATGAGCCAAACTGTTAGTGAGAAACCTTTTCCAAAAAAAAAGACGGTTTTTCTCAAGAAGTTCAGCAGCAGGATATTATGGTTCATGTAGCCGGCTGGCATAAAGCAGTTAAAATGGGAAATTCACAGACTGAGCAATTTTCCTGTTGCTCAGTGACTAAGCAGGATGAAGAATCAGTTTTAATAGACTCTGAGTCTTAGTAAGAAATGAAAAATGCTTTATTTATTATATTAGGTCAAGTTGTTTACTGTCAGAGGTCCTGTCAGCTGCTTAGCAGAAGAAACTGCTTCAACCTCACGTACTGAGGCAGACTAGGGCAGTCCTAGAAGTATTACTGCACCTCAGCTGATGCCACACCACAGGGACACTCAGACACCCTCTTCAGACCAGTGTGTACCGAGAAACTAAAGACATCTCCCCAAACCAAGTTATCCGATCCAGCATTTAACATAGAAGATGTCACTGTCAGTGAAGTCTGAATGTAAGAATACAGAGAAAAATACAATTACAAAATATAATATAGATTAAAAATAATACATGAAAAATTCAAATTTTGGTACTTAACCTTCATAAATTAGAAGTTATACTAGGGTTTTTCCTAATGTGTAGGTAAGTAGTGCACACTTTCCCTAACAGTATCTTAAAATTCTTCATGTCATGCATTCACAGCTAACAAAGCTCTCACATAACTCACTTTTTCTCTCAAGTATATTTAAGGAAGGACTCAGTTTATGTTACAAATGAACTGTGCTACTTCCTCTGAAACCTAAATAATTATGGAAATAATATATGCAAAGTCACAGGTTCTCTAAGGCAGCCCAATAGTATCTAAAATAAGGATTGCTTAAATTTATCATTATGTGCACACAGGATAGCAACAAAGTGATTAAAAATTTTTCTTATGTTCATGAAAAACATTTTTTGTGCTCCTCAAAATTGCATTGCCAAATGAAACTGAACTCAGATACAAACGTGTTCCTCACCATAAAAATGGCCAAACAAGTAAGAGTTATCAGTCATACTTTTCCTGCTGTCACTGAGTGTATATAAACCACCTTCTTACCTGCTCAGATAACTCTGGCCCATGGATATGAGCCTGTACCAGAGCATCATTAACAAGCGAATGAAAGTTGAGAAGTACGTGCTCAATGTCGTGTGTTCCACTCATGGCGCTTGAGAGCTCCTCCAGGGACCGAACATATCCCCGCCAATGAAGATCAATTTCTGCTATGCTGGCTAAGCAGCCCCGGATGATGTTGAGGCAGTAGCCCATGCAGGGCTTGCTCAGCATCACTCCCTGGCAGTGGGGGCAATACTGCATTCTCAGTAAAGCTCTGCTGCAGTCTTTGGAGAAATGCAGGTGATCTGTTGTATTGATCACTTCAATCCCCAAATTCAGAGCCTGCAAGAAAGTCCGGCTGGATAAGAGTGATCTTCCCATTTGTCCTATGGCCTTTTTGGGAATGTTGCCAAAGGGCCTGATGTCTCTTCTCGCCATTCGGAGGCACTCTGCATATTCCAGGGAAATGTCAGTCAGACCGGGGTTAATCACGTGGTTGTAGACTACTGGAAACAGAGTGTCAAAAAATCTATTGACAAATTTCTCTGTGCTAATGTCTGTGCCAAACACGAAGAGTCCAACATCAGCAAAAAACTCCTGAACACGCACAGTAGCCTCAGCAGCCATGTTTCTATATGCAGTGCAGAAAAGTGTGCTTGTGTAATTCTCAACCAGTCTGATAAGCATTTCAAAGGTTTCTGTAATTAATAAATCAATCAATCAATCATTATTTTTAAGGTTTAAAAAATAAGAAATTAGAGTAATAAGAACTTAAAACAGTTACATTAGGACAACTTACATTTATCCCAAATGAATTTTTGTATTAGAATTTTTGAAGAGACAAACTTCTCACAAATTATGACAACTGTCTTTTGCATATAGGGAAACACTTTACAAATAATGTTTTGACACAATCAATAATCCATATGTTTTCTTTGCAGGTTATATTAAACACAGACTAAAAAAAAAGCATCTCCTTGGATGCAGCAGCCCAGAATAGCAAGGACAAAAATTTAAGTCAAACTGATTCTTGGTCTACATGGCTTAAATAATAAAAGTGCGAAGAATATTAAAGGTTTATATGAAAATAGTTATTTTTGTAACTGCAAATTCAGTCCTTTACACAAATTTTTCCAAATACTTTAGATGAAAATTTTTAGGTAATATTAGTAAAATAGTGATGATTCAATAATCCCTATAGAATTACATTAATAAGGTTTTTATGACCCTTTTTTTTATTACTACTTTTCCTAGATAAAACCTAGATGAAAACATCTAAAATGTCTGTCTCAATCCATGGCTGCAGTATCCTATTACCAAGAGTACAAATAGTAGTTGAAAGAATAAACCCGCTGCACATGGATAATCAATAAATTTTACAATATAGTATAAACAATAACAAATCTTCAATATTGAATTACATTGCCAGTGCCTCAGCAAACCCCAGATGAACGAGTACAATAATCAACTGTACAATCGATTGACTATTTGTGCTTTTCTAACCAGGATATTATGATACTGACCTCTTGTGTTCACAATTCTGCATCATGCTGTTTAATTGTCATTTTAGGATTTCTTACAAAATTTGTTATTCAGGTTTATTCTACTGTCACATTTTCTACTTTATAAACACCAAGGCTATTCCAGAGATTTGTTTTGCTCTCAGACAGTCTGACAGACAGCAAAGCAGACCTATGTTTACTTTCAATACTGAACAGCGCCAATGAATACCTTACAAGGGCAACCCATGTCATTTATAACACATTCAGACACCTCAGTGACAAATCAAATTATGCTGGTTCAATATTGCAAGTGTGTCATAGACGTAGCAATGTGTTTCTTTATCTTTTAAATCTATGGGCTCAGACTAACATAATCAGTCCTAATTATTCAGCCACATAAAATAAGTGCTGAGTTTTCAATCAGTATAAATCTAATAGACATAAAATACATTTTAAATATAACCAAGATGAGTTATACAAGCTCTTTTTATTGTTATTAAATGATTTTTTTAATCTGCAGGTTCAGTGCCTCTTATCTCCATCCTTTATGAGATCTTCATATTAACCACTATACAATATCCTACAGAACTTTCTGCAGTACTACTGTCAATAATGTCTAGTATTTACCAGAGATGACATATCAATTTTATTTTTCTTTGTCTACAATTAAAACTAATGTTTGTACATTCCTAAGTAAAAAATCAGGGTTTCCAATATCTTAACCCGTTAATTTTTTGAAAGAACAGGTCTATTTATCTTCCTGATTTTGCTAAGAAGGAACAAAACTCAAGGCTAGGAAAAAATGTAGATATACTTGTTTTATGTATTGCATTTATTCACCTGATACTTCATATCAGTACATATATATACATTGTTTTTTGATAATAGTGTATTTAACAAAGTGATCAGAAAGTGATGCAAAATAACTATCAAGTCATTGCTTTAAAAGATTTGCTCTCTTCATAGTCTTTAACCTTTCTGTTCCTGAGAGCTATAGGTAGTTCTAAATTGCAAAGATGTCTCAGTTTAGCCATCAGTCCAGTGGATTATTAACTTTAAAAGAAAACTCAAAAGTATACACATGCCCTGTATACTAGAAAAATTCACAAAGAAAACAAAAAAGAAATATTGTTTTTTATTTCTAGACATTAATCAGATTTAATGGAAATACCGCACAGAATGAAATAGAATCTGGATTGGATTTAAACCAGCCCTGTGATTCTCATCTTTAATAGTTCTGGCAAAGTGTCTTTCTACTACAGGTACCTTGGAAAATTAATTTGAAATAAATTTCTATGAAACCGTGTTGTTCTAAAACAACTGCATTTTCTTAAGTTTATCCTTTTTACACACAGATGAATGTACTATAGAAGCTGCTAAATAAGCAAATGCATGGGCTAAATTCTGAGTATTACCTTTTGAAACACATATAGTACTTAATGCAAAGATAATCTAATAAGCTAAAAATCCAGTATTAGTAGTGGGCCAACAAGTTGTGAAGTCTTATAATTCAGCAGTAATTTATCAGCCGACATTAAATATTATAAATTAATTCACAGTTAGCCAGGGTAATATATAAAAATCAATAAATTATAACCAGACAGGTTAAAATCCATCCCTGAATTATGGATATTGTATTTAGCAAGACTGCCTTTCACAGTCCAGAGGGGAACTAAAACCTTAATGATCAGCCCATGACATACAGGAATCCAGATAATCAAATCCAAGCAAAAGCTGAAAAACCTAACAATAATATGAATTCATTTTTATTTGAAAAATCTTATGGGAAAGTATTAACTTGTTGACAGCTGCCATTAATGTCTGGTGATTTCATAAGTTTTCCTTCTGTTTATGAGCAGCACAAATAACCTAGAAGCATCAAACTCCCTCTCCTAAAGACTTATACTCCAATCAAACGCATCTTGTATACATTGTCCTACTGGAGTCATGGGGAATGTCTCAGTTAAAGTATACAACCTAGCTAGCAAAAGGCATTCAAATATTGTGAAAAAGAAATTGTGGAAAAGAAATTAATCCACACAGTATGACATTCATAATATCTCTGTTTAAAATACATCAAACAGAGAAATATGTACAGATGGGAAATTCAGTGTACCTATTCCTAACTACAAAGTACTACACAGTACCAGATACACTGCAAAATCCCTAAATCATTTACCATATCAGAAAAATGAGCTGGAAGAATAATGTTTTCAAAATACATAAATGGATTACGAAGAATGAACTCATTAGGGCATTGCCTGTGAAGGTTATTTGGGAGAGAGATAAAAAGGATAAGTGTGAGCAGAATAGATTTGAGACTCACTAAAACTGCTCCTCATTAACACATATTTCAGTTAATCCATTTCATAGATTGTAGACTCATCGCTGAAGTCAGTAAGAAAAACTGGTGTAACAGATTAAACCTGTAGCACAGTCAACTTTGTGTTGTCAAATGCTAGTGATACACCTCAGGCTTTGCAGCCCAAAGTACTCATAACAGACTTCAGAATTTGTCATATCTTCTTTGGTCTTGAATTTATTTTAGCTGTCTTTGAAAAAAACAGAAACATTTAAGAAACTTGAATTAGAATCAGTTGACCATTGTCTAAGTTGTCTGTGTTCCATGGCATATTACTCAGATACTCAAATATCAGGAATTTCTCACATATCCTGTGATTTTGAGTTTGTTCAGTTATACTGTAATTTTTTTTAGTTGTGGTTTGTGTTAGGGTTTGTATGGTCTTTTTAGTATCAGGAACTGTTGCACTTTGAAAAGAAACAGCAAATTCTCTGAAATCCATATGTAAGTTGTGCTCTCCTTTTTTCCCATAATGAAATTGTGAGGACTCATAAGAAATTCTTTCCCAAGGTAACCAACAAATAGAATGTAGAAAACATGTCCCAAAGCCAGATGAGATGAATTTCACACATTATTGTGCTACATCCTTTCCTGAGTCTGAACTGATAATGATACTTCTCATTCTTATTTTATAATCTACTTAATATCATCATCAGTGTTAATCTGTGCTTAGTAATCCTGATACCAACTATTTTGCCATGTGGAATTTGCTTTCTAAATCAACAAATTCAGATTTTTTTTTTTCCTTCTTCGTCTTGCTATCTATACATTCAAGAACAGGCCCTGCACTGCAGGACTCAAGTTCAGCTGACCTGACACCATGATCTCTAAGTCTTGTAATTTGCTTGGGGTTTTTTTTATGAAATGTTGGAATAAATGTATCTTTTATCCAGTTCTCTGGAGTTACATTAATTTTTATGACTTAATGGAAGTCACCACAATTGATTCACAGCATTAGTTTTGAACTTTTCAGTGCAACTTACTGCTGTTGATTTTAAAATATCTAGCCTTAGAATTTGCTATTTAACATACTCCTAAATAGTAACTGGAATGTAAAGTATTTAATCATATCTTGATAGATTATATTTTAATATTGAATGAGTTTCATATGAATGAAAGAATAAATGAATGATTACATTTATGAATATCATAAAGTTATTATTTTATCTAGTTATCATCAGTGATTCCACTTTTCTCCCCAAACTGTGCTTCTTTTCCTTTTTTTCAGTCTGTTGTTATCCTTTTAATAGTGCTGACTATGGAAACATTCATCTAGTCATTTTGGAAGCAATATGAGCAGATTGTTTTGTATGGTGCCAGGAGAAGAAATAACTAGCAATTAACAGAGCTCAACCAAACCATTTTTTATCTCTTGGATTCTGTTTATGTTCTTTCTGATTTTGCATTGTTCCATGTATTTCACAGGCAATGTTTTCCCAGAGAAAAATATTTCTAAATTCTGAATATATTGCTTATTACCCTGGAATGAAATACACTTGGAGTTGCAAGTAGACCACTGAGCGGAAAATCAGAGCTTTAAAACTTCTTATAATGAAGTTGCTTGGAAAATATTTTGATTTAAAATGTTGTGCATGGTTTGCCAAAAGGACGAAAATTGATACTGAGTTAACATAACTATTTTTACACATTTGCCATAATAAAAAGGATGGCAAGTCATCTCAGATGTATGAAAAGGGTATTTTTTGAAAAAAGAAATTTGTAGCAGGATGATGTTGGGATAGGAGGGTCAGAAAATTAACTGATTAGAAGGATAATTTCACTTCATATAATTTCAAACATATATATGATAGCTAACAAGCACTTCTAAGACTTC